GCTTAGCCAACAAAAAGATGTAGCTGTAGTATTCTACACATAATAAGAGCTGCTGAGCTGGCTGTAGCTACAACACTCTCTAAGGTGGTGGCCTCAGGTGGCACAGGTTTTGTAAGCATGCTGGGGGAGAAGCCCTGCCTCCTTCCCAGAGACTGCTCCTTGTGCAGAAGTGTTTGGTACGATTGCAGAAATGCTTGAGATGTTCACAGTACCCACATGCTGCAGAACTGGAGCTCCACGCTCTTTAAGACCTATGCCAGCATTGCACTTGGAGGGATGGGGCACCTCACTGGGCCAGCCTGGTCCCAGGGATGCCCAGCCCTGCCTGCAGTGCTCTGCAGAACGGGGATTTGCCCGGTGGAACGCTGTGCTAAAAATGTTTGTATTGCTCCTGGTAACTGAGCTGGCTTGCTCAGATCTGATTTTAGCCTTTCACAGTACGCTGCCTTGTACCACTGGGGAGATCCTCTCAGTGTGTTTAGTCTCACTGTGAGACCCTCCCATTTTCAGCATGGGAGGATTTACTCACAAACGATGAATGCCACAGTGTCTGAGAGGCTTGGGATGAACTCTCTGCAAGTCCATACCTCCTCTGACACACAGAGTAAGGCTACAGAGCCTACTTTAGGCAGCTGCAATCTAGTGCCATATCCAAGGCTGTAAGTAATTTCCTGTAATTTTGCATCTTCTTCTTGAAGATTTTCTTCTGAGCTTCTAGTGCAATGAGAGAGATAAACTCATGCACATCTAGTCTACTCTCTGTTTCAGTGGTTTGCTTGGAAGGCAGCTCCTTCAGGAGTACTGGCAGCAATATGTTTCCAGCTGTGGGTTTTTCTTAAAAAAAAAAAAAAAAAGTAAGAGAAAGAAACAAGACCAATCTTTTTTAACGATTTTTCATTGTTGCTGCCCAGGGTGAGCAGGACAGCTTCAGGACTCTTGTTTTTCCCTTGTCTTGAAGTGATTAAATTGAGTGGCAGTGTATTTCCAGAGGACTGCAGAACGTTATGGAGACTGTGCTTGCAAGGGACTGTCAGTGTCACATAAGGTGAGTTGTAACACAATGAATGTCTCATGCACTGTATGGGACAGAGGGCCTTTTTTTTACTTTAGTTAAAGTTGCTGGCCCACTGAGAAAACTAGATGTGTGTTTGTGAAATGGAGCTTCTGAACTGGTCCATAAAAATGCCCCAAACTCTTTCCAATCCCATTTTCAGATGCAGTCATTTCCAGCTCTCCCTGTATTTACTATTTCAATGTTTTTTGAATTTGGCCTCAGGGTTTCACATCAGTGTGCACGCTAGCTATGTACACATAAGATTTTCAATCCTTTCCTTTCCCCACCACTTGTGACTTCAAGAAATTTTAAATGTACATTTGGTGTGCTTTCTGACCTTGACTTTTGAGCATTCAGGCCGAGTACTCAATCATTACCATATAAGTTCATACCCTTGACATACCATGAGTAATTGATCTCAACTCTCAATTATTATGTTAAGCTTATATGGATTTAGAAGGATGAGATCCTTCCTAATTAACCTCAAGTTTTTTGATAAGATTACACTCAAGATTGACACTGACAGCTCATAATTTATCTGAATTTTAAGGAAGCTCTTCATAAATTGCCAAGCCAGGACTTCAGTGTTATTACAGAAATAGATTTCAAAATGCACTAAAAATGCTGAAAATGGGAAAGAGTTTTGTAAGCAACTCTAACAGGGGTGGAAATTGTGTTACACCCACAGGGGACAATGTCTCGAAGAACCCAAATGGAAAACTGTTTTTCATGGTAACTAGCATGAGCTGAATATTATTGATCAAAACAAATAATGAACAGGTAACGTAAGAGGCAAATCTGCAGGTGGTAAAACTCACAGAACCTGATTCTTACAGGCTTGGTTCCTGGTGGTTGGATTCACTTGAACCTAAGCAGGTCTCTAATGAAAACCTTGCTCTGGGGCACAGCTTGTAGTGTTTCTGACGGAAACTTTGCTGCAGCCTAACAGGTAAATTTTGTTATGGTCATCCCACTGAGCAGTCCTCTCTCTAAGCTGCTTCTCTGCCCCTGTTTTTGTTTTTTTTTTAACTTTAAGTCTTTCTGAGTGCTGTCATTTTTCTTGTGTGGTTCTGTAGCTTCCAGAGGATCAGCTGCTCAGGGTCAGTCCCCAGTTAGCATCATTCTATTAAGGCCAGTGAGGGTTGAATTAACACAAAGTCAATCAATCTTTACTAATTCACACCAGCTAAGAGTTAGCTGTAAAAATGTAACAGTTTTTTAAATGCATGTTTAAATGAATTGATCTTGTTATCGTTCTGAGTAACTATTTTACTAAAAGTATGAGGAGCTGTGGGCTGCCTGACTGCTATACACCAACAGGATCATATTCCTGCATGACTTTATACTTACATAGATTCCAAAACAGGAGAAAATGTTGTTAGCAATGCGACTGAAATAGATGATGTTGTGTGACACTGCAAGGAATGCAGCATTTTGTATGGAATGGGATGAATGAGTACAGGCACTGAATAAACTAGGGGGAAATTTCAGCAGCTGAGTACAAAAGAACTGCAAGTACTGTCCTACAAACAGTGATGAAACTTGCTTTGTGAAGCAGGACATCAGTGTTCTGATAGGAAGGAATTAATGTGGACTCAGGTAAAATGGGAATTTTCACGTAGTGTCATTTTTATTTGAGATTGATTAGTCTGACCTTCACTATCTTCCTAAAGACAGTGCAGTAAGTTTTGTTGGCTTTTTTCCCCTCTGGTCTCACTGAGATTAGAGCATGGATTGGCAGATAGACCAGCCTCGTGTGCTGCAGAAAATGCAGCAGAGAATATTAGCTCAGAAGCACTGGGAGAAGACATTTAAACCCTTCCACATAGATGTTGATAAGCAGAGCTGTTGATGGACAGCTGTTTGCAATGTTATGGTCATATATTTGTAGACCTAAGGGAATCAGATACCAATGTCCTCATAACTGCTAGCCTGGTAATTAAATATGACAGTCTTATCATACAGTATTATCAGCATTTTGAAAGTATGTCTCGAAGACAGAGATACAATAGTCCTCTACAGTTCAGCACCAGACAGCAAAACATGTTTAGCATGAAAGATAAAATTTCAGATTCCAAATATATAGGGTTAAGACCTCGATAATGGAAGGTAAAGTAATTTAAAAAATGTTATATTTGGAGAAAGATAAATGTGTTAGAACTGTTACAATGACCCTGCAATAGACCCAGAAGGATAGGATGGAACTCTTACGGTGATGCCATTCCCTCTAAGGGCTGGTTGCTGTTCTCCATAGTTTTACTGATTAGTATCTTTATCAGTGAAGACTTCCACTGAAATTAATAGGATTAAATGTGTTGCCATAACCTGACCCTTGAAATTTTAAGAATATCTACAACATTACCAGTTTCTGAATGTGCAGGTCCAATTCACTGTCATATTTGAGTGCGTCTCTGTTTTTTTATCTCCTTTTCTCCTTTTTCTTTTCTTTTCTTTTCTTTTCTCTTTTCTTTTCTTTTCTTTTCTTTTCTTTTCTTTTCTTTTCTATTCTTTTCTTTTTCTTTTCTCTTTTCTTTTCTTTTCTTTTCTTTTCTTTTCTTTTCTTTTCTTTTCTTTTCTTTTCTTTTCTTTTCTTTTCTTTTCTTTTTTCTTTTTTCATTTTCTTTTTTCCTTTTCTTTTCTATTCGCCAGTTCTGGTTTTATCACTACAGAATCTCAGTGAAAGCAGTTTTGAAAACCAAATATGTCACTTAAGTGAACAAAAAATCAATAGCACACAAAATTCTGGGAAACCCAATCTCCAGGAAACATACATCTATATTTTATCTTCTTGACTTCAATTATCACTTTTGCCAACTTCTGCTAGAGACACTTTCCTGGCTCTTCAACTCATTCCTCATCAATCCCTGATGTTCTCTCTATTTTAAGTGACTGTAGTTCCTATCCCTCTTACTTTTCAGCTGATACTACCCACTTAGATTTTGAAACCCATTCTCATCCTTAGTTTTATTCTGCTTATAAAGTGTTGCCACTGATTTTGATGGCAAAATACTGTGATTATTTCTATGTGTGTTGAATAGGTAACAATCCTTCCCATCAGAAGTAAGATAGCTTTAGCTGAGCAAAGATATTGTTGCCTTACTAATTAAACTGCTGTGACCAAAACCTGTGTGTAAAAGCAGCTTCTTGTCCACATGTGAACAAGAGCTGGATTTCAGCAAATTCTCTTCATCTTAAGCTGTGCTTTGTGATTTTAATGCCATTTATTGATGTAGCAAAAGTGCCATTCATCACCCAGTTTTAAAGGAAAACCAGTGCCATTTACACCTTCCAGTTTATTTAATTGAACTGGCTCATCTGAGAACATAATTGTGACAATTGCAAGGGAATCAAAGCCTAGATACTTTCTGGAATAGAACTTCAAGTGATGTAAAGAACTGCTGTGCCTCCCTTGTCTACAATAGACTTGTAAAAACTGGCATCTACACAGGTTCTGTTTTGTTGCTCATGTGAATGGTGAAATTCCTTGCAAGGAAAAAATCAGGTTCCCAGTTGAACTGCAAAAATGTGTTTCTGAGCAAGAGCTAGGGACAGTGGTTAAACTGAAAATATTTTAAAATGTCACTTCAGTGGTGTTTTATTAAAAGGTCATCTGGCATCTTAAATAATAGGTGATTTCTAAAGGCAGCATGTGAAAATGACATGGATACTGAACATGGAACGCGCACACCTAAGTGTTATCTTGTTTCCCTGGGTGGACCCATTAAAATATTTGTGAAGTGAGTATTCTCCCTAGATTTTTATCAACATTTGCCTAGCTTAATTAAGCTTTTAAGGTAAATAAGTGCCTTTGTTGGCATGCTCAGGAAAGTCCTGCCAACCCTGTCAAGAGTAGTAGATCTGCATCTTTTCAAGCCAGCAACCCAGGTGTGTACAGTAGATAGACAAAAAGCTTCTCAACTGTCCAGAGGCTGATGGTGATGTGTGTACAGTAGATAGACAAAAAGCTTCTCAACTGTCCAGAGGCTGATGGTGATGGTGATCTTAAAAAGTGACTGAACTACCTTCTTGTTTCATTTTCTGTAATGAGTTTCTGATTTTAATTTAGCAGAAACATAAAATTCAGCTGACAGGCCATGTCTAAGACTCTTGACACTGACATCTTCTTTATCTCCCTCCGTTTTGGAGTTGTTCATTTCCTCCTCAGAATTACAAGCCCTCCTTACAGAAGGGGTCTTGGAAAAGGCAATAAGTGTTATCAAAGATCTACCTGCAAAAGGCAATAAGTGTTATCAGAGATTTACCTGAAAAATAATATACTATACCAGCCTCAATTAGAAAATAGGCATGAGTTTAGTTCTCTTCACAAGAAGCATTTCTTCCACCCCTTACTTATGAGCAGGAACAAAATGCTGTTTCATCTCCCTCGTGGAATCTGTGATATATAAGGTACCTCAAAGGAAATTTACATCAGCCTGTTATGACTTTATACCTCCCCCATCAAATAATGGCCTTGAGCATGGAACAGAGACCTGAGGGAAATATGATAGAGAAGGAAGAGAGCCAAGCAATTAAAAATATTTATAATACTTCCATGCAATAACCTATGATAAGGTTAGTTCCTTTTTTTTCCTTCATTATTTCTCTGCATAAAAGTTGCTGCATGAAGTCAGTACAAATATGTGTATGAAAAAGCATGAAAAAGACTTGTTTCAGGCTGTGAGTATGTGAATGTGTGTTCTGATTTTGTTAGAAGTTTAGGTGTTCCTGGAGTACAGGAAGAAGTAGAATCAATTTAATTTATGCTGTACACTATTAATACCCAGGGAATCCTTGTGCTTAGTGATATCTAGCACAGCTAAAAGTACACAACAGAAAACTTGGGTGTTTTACTGGCACGAGATCACTTTCCTTAAATAAGCTCAAAGAACTGAAAGGGAGATGTAATTACTCCAAAATCTATGTATGAAAAAAATAACTGTGAAAAAATATTGTGTGTGTTAACTGAGGGGTAATTTGCTCAGGTGGAATGAATGAGTTACCAGACCACCCCACACATAATACTGAAGGAAGGAGATGGTAGGAAAAATAAGAGGGATCATAAGAGTTGATATAAGGAAGGTGCTACTCAGCATAGCAGGGCCAGAGGCTGGCTTAGAGGACAGAGCTGCTGATGGAAAAAGTCAACATGTCAAGTTACACTCCTAAGTGGAGCTGATTTTATGGTGGGCTTTTCACACAGGTGACATTACCTAGTTTTTAATTACTGCAGACAGAACGTCTTAACATAGATTCACTGGAGGACATATCAGTTGTCATTTTGTTGGTTCCAGTAAGTGCTCCGAGGTCCCAGTTGTTACTGTCTGTGAAACATGCTTTGTAAATCTTATCCTATGTGAATATCCTTGGCTATTGATTCTTCTGTGAACTTGGCAGTCCTGTCAATAAAGGGAAAAAAAAAAAAAAAAAAGCATTAAAGGAAAATCAGTGTCCTTGCCTTATGCAGTAACCTGAACAGTTCTTGGGAAAGAGTCCAGTGCAGGCACAGTAGCATGGTTAATTAAAGCAGTAACATCATTAGTATACTAATTTGGGAGTGTGTGGATGTTGGGTCTGTGTATATCAGGGACACAGTGTAATTGTTGCCCTTCTGTTCTTGGTTTCTAGTTTTCTGGAATTACGTGCAAACTGAGGTAAAAGTAGAATTGCTAAACCAGTCAACCAATACCTGAATTAAAAGACATCATTTTAGGGGAGGCTTTTTAGTGCCAGAAAGAGCACAATATTATCAGGTTATTTGGGCATTAGAAACCTGAGGAAGCTGTTCTGAGATGGCTAATGCATGGGTCTGGACTTCTGCCAAGGAGCCATGGGCATCCATAACAAGGCAAAGGATTTTGAAAACTCCTTGTTCTCCTGGACCCATATACCCAAATTAATGTGTGTGGGTCAGGTTTTTCTCTACTCTGACGCTGCACCCTGGTTTATTACTTAACACTGTAACTCCAGCAGGGCAGTGCCATGCTCTTGTCTGTTGCAAACTGGGAATGTTTTGAAGAAAAAAAAAAGATTTTTATTCCCCTCCCCCCGCTTCATTCAGATTTCAGTAGTTAATTGGATGCACAAGGTACTACATAAAGCTACAGAATGATGCTAAACCTCTCTTCTAGTCTCTGTCCTAATTTGTATGGAGAAAATTACTTCTACTTAGAGGTCACAGAAAAAAAAAAAATGGTGCTGACTGAGAAACATGACATTCCTTTTTCAACATTATTAAAAACTGGAATAATGAAAATTTCAACACCTCTCCCACTACTAATGTAAATAAAATATCATTCAGTGTGTCTCACACTGAGTACATTTAAGAGAAGGATTTGAACTGTAATGTGCACATTAAGTAGAAAGAGGCAGAATGTGCCCTCGTGCATACACTGACTGTTGAAAGACTCACAACCAAATAAGAGCAAATTTTGGCCCCTGTTAAATCACAGTAGAACTTAATGCAGTGCCTGCAAGAATTCAAAGCAGCTCACTCAGAAAATTGTTATCTTGTGTTTGGAAAAGCAAACCATTGAGACTGTAGGATTACACATGCAATCCATGATCTAATATGTGTTTTATCACACAGGACAGTGTTGCTATGTCTCATTCATGGAGAACATAAAAATAGCTATTGACACTGCAAACATACTGTGAGCTCACCTTACTGCTTCAAGAATATTGTACTCATTATGGATTTATGGAAGGAAATGAACTTTTGGATTTGCTAATGAAAACCTTGGAAAAATACCAATTAAACCAAAATCCTAAGAGCATTGGCACTTTACCTTTCAGAACTGAGACTAGCTTAGAAGTTCTGCTGGTCTGCAAAAAAATAAGAGCCCAGAGGCTCTTGGAGAGGCTGATCATATGCTGTCTGAAAGGGAAAAAAATCACCAAGATCAAATCAGCTGCGCCAAAAAAAATGGGTACTTTTATTAAAACATCCAGGTTTCTCAGAGACACTATCCAGCCTCACACACACCTCATGGGCTATCTTCAGAATCCTGATACCTTGCATGTGGATACAGGGATGTGCAAGGACTTGCCCAGCCTCAGTCAGATGTTAGCTCCATGTTTTCCTCCCATCTAAAGGTAAAAGCTGTGAACATTTTTCATATTCCACTTTCTTCAGAGAATCATTGCTGCTGCTTAGAAATTCATGTTACTTCTCTTAAAGAAGAAGCTGTTACTGGTTATTACTTTTTACTAGTAATGGAAACCCGATTGGGCAGCTCCATTCCCAGCTGTTCTTTATTTATTTATTTTCCACTGTGAAGCCTCCAGCGCTCGGGACCGATATTCCCAGACATTAAAGTCTTCCTTGTGAAACTAAACAGCATCAAGCAAAAATTTTTTTTCAAGGTGTTTGTCCAAGTCCTGTACTCGGGCTGCTCCTCAGAGGTCACCTTGCTTGTCCCCAGCGCAGAGCTGCGGCAGGACAGCAGAGGGAGACCGCGCTCAAAGGAGGGGCACAGGCCCGGCCTTTGCCGGGACACCCCCGGCCAGCCCTCCCTCAGAACCGAGAGCTGCGTTTCGGCTGTGCTGGCCTGTGGGGCAGCCTGCTGCGGATCCCTGCCAGCAGCTCCGGATCCCTGCCAGCACCTCCTCTCTGTCCCGACAGCCCCGGCAGCGCGGCTCAGCCCCAGCCCCAGCCTCAGCCTCAGCCTCAGCCCCAGGCTCAGCCCCAGCCCCAGCCCCAGCCCCAGCNCCCAGCCTCAGCCCCAGCCCCAGCGGGTCCGGTCCTGTCCCGCTGTCCTGGCCCGGAGCCAGCGGGCTCCTCGGCGATTCCTCGCAGTCACCGACCTTGCCGGGTCACGGCAGCACAATGTACTGACTTTATTAAGGCGTGCCCTTTAGTGAGAGTGTGTTTGGTGCATGTGTTGGGTCTGTAATTAAAATGCTAAAACACGGTTCTGGGAGAAAGTTTAACAGATTATTATCTTTCCTGCACAGAAGGAAGAGAGTAGTAGGACATACCTGTTTAAAGTGACTGTGCAAATGACATTTTGATGTGCCATATTTATAGTGCTTTCCCTCAGTCACTTGCATATAAAGGGCTGGATTATACCAGCCTGCCCCAGAAAGAGGTCGGAGAATGAACCTCAGTCACAACCACTCCCAAGGGCCACCAAGCCTTCCCCCTGCACAGAACCACACAAAATTATTTAGGTTGGAAAAGACCTCCAAGATCATCGAGTCCAACCTTTTGCCATGCTTCCCGTGGCTGGGATGGCACTTTGATCAGGATAACATCAAAGCTTTATTCTTCCATGCTGAGCCGTATCTCCGTGGTGGTGTGACTCCTAGCCCCTGCTTTCAAGGTAAGCCAGAGAAGGATCGATAATGTCTCATCAAAAACCCAAGCTCCACTTTCAACGCCCCTGTCCCACTATAAGTTTCACTGGGGCACTTTGTTAGGGATGGGTGAAGACCACCTCTGCTCCCTTCCACTGCAGTACCTGACAGTGTTGGGAGTAATACACACCTGGGTTTGTCAGCACAACTAATCTGGGTTTCCCTGCACAATTTGTTCTGGTTGTTTTTTCCTTTTTTATCTTCTTTATGGTGATTTTTGGAAAACAAACAAACAAGCACTCCAAAACAAACAAACAAAACCAAACAAAAAACCCACAAAAGAGCAACCAACCAACCAAAAAACAAACAAACAAACAAAAAAAAAGAATGCCAAAAACCAAAATGGAAGAGCTCGTGTAAATTTTAATCCAAGTGCTTTGATTAAAATTTAAAGTGGCACAGAGTGCCAGTCAGCTGACAATGGCAGGGTAATTGATGTTGCATAATGTCCCATTGGCTTTCTGGAGATGTTTTCTTTGGGTTTAAATATCTGTGTTTAATGAATCCAATGTACTTGGCTGAAGTGGAGTCAAAACCCATGGCAGGCTCAGACCCATACACCTTATGGGCTTTGCAGGAAAGACAGTAATAAAAATGCCAGTTGAGCAGAAAGACAAAAAATTCTTTATTCCTTTGCCACGTGGATCTTCTGACAAAAAATGAACACTATATTTTTTTTCTCTCTACCTCACTTGGGAAAAGGTAGAAAGTTCCTCTTTCCTGAGCAAAACTGTAGTGCACCAATGTTTAACTGCTGGGAAAGAGTAGGTCCTGGCCAGAATGGCTGCAAAAGGGATTTTGTTCCTTGAATGAACATCCAGAATTTTAGATCTCGCTCCATATTCTCCTCTATCCCACCAGTGGCACAGGGTTCTTCTTCTGGGTGGTTGGATTTCATCTCCTAAAAGAAATAGGGAAAAAAAGAGGTGAATGGTGCCTTTATCTACCTGTGAGCTCATCATCATCACTAAGATGTTAGGCACAGTATCTTTGAAACATTTTCGGTTTCAGGTTTTGCATAGTTAATGATATTTTTTAGTAGAAAGAATATTTTAAAATTTGAAGACTGCCTTTAACACTTGATTGTAAATTTTAAATACTTATTTAAATGAGACACTAAGTCTTGACTGATTTCACCAGGAGAAGAATTTCTCCCGCTAGTCTTCACCCAGAATACATCTGCAGTGGCTGGAGCGAAAAATGTGGAAGATAAGCTAGAAAATTAGCAGCAATAAGGCAGCAACTAGGTGTCAATAAGATACTACTCTAGTGGTTAAATTGCTAAATTCTGTGGTTACTGAATACTCCTCAATATTAATTATATCAATATTAATATTCCTAAGTCTGGCATAATTTTATTAAAAGTATGTTTCATTCAGAAAATGCATTTCCACTAGGAAGGTTTGCATGTGTTTCTACAGCAGAAAAAACCCAGCTGACCTCTGTTTCACGATCAAATTGACTTACAGTCGGGAAAGGTTTGGGAAGTTGGGAAGCTCCAATCTCTTTTTTAATAATACCATTTATCTTTGTTGAAATCTCTATCTGTTTGAGGTTTTTCTAGTGGAAATATTTATCTGAAGAAGTGTGTGAGGGCATTGTTGGGAGGCAGTGGGGAAGGTTGTTTTAGTGGGACTCCTGCTTTGGTTAACAACCCCTCAATGTGGATGTTTGTTTTCACACACAACTTCTGTGAACTCATTCGGCCCTGGATAATTATTCAGTGGGACACATCTGGTTCTAACTGAGTCAGCACTCCCACCAGCTTCCCTGCGACTGCTGCTGCAGGATTCAGCCCCACAAGAGCTAGAGAAAAGAGATGAAGCTGTTTTGCTGAGGCAGGGGACAATCATTGACGAAATAAATCCACTGAAGGAAGGAAAGGAAATATTACTGCAGCGTTGTGTTGACCTTAGGGAAATTACTCTAAGGTATTTTTCCACTGCACCTGGGAGGGGGCCTCAGGAAGAGCTAAGATACATGGGCCAAGTAGAGTTCCTTGGGGGTTTTTTGTTGTTCCTTTGGTTGGTTTGGTTTTGTTTGCTTGGGTTGTTGTTGTTGGTTTTTTGGTTGTTAGTGGGTTTGTTTTTTTTTAAACATTTCTAGCAAAGCAGGGGTTTGTCTGCTTTATTTTATGTTTTTTGCTGGTGTGACTTCTGTCTCATTTGGTGTCTGTTGGGGCAACTTTTTACTAGGACACCCACATCCAGACTAGGAGTGATGAGAAAAGTGAGAAAAAGACAGAAAGTTCTTTCAGATCATAGGACAGGGAATGAAAGTTCCTCTGGTGTGAAAGGGAAGAGGAAAACATGCTTAGCTTTACAGCTGAGATACTACATTGAAAGAAAAATGTAAATACAGTGCATGCTTCAGAATATCACTTCTCATTGGAAATGATGTTGAATAGAACTGAGGCCATTGAAATATGAAAAGTACAGGTAAAATTAAAGGTTTATACCAACACCAACCTATTCATTAAAGAAAACTGAAATTACAGGAGACAGTAGGACTTTAAGGAGTGTTTCAATAAGAATGATAATTTTGAAGATCACTACAGAAAAAAAGAAAAAATAATTTGGAGGACAAAATGTTCTGATGGATAAAGTGAGCATCTGATGATGCACACAGTCAGGGAAGAGGAAATACAGGTTGTTGAAACTAATTAGGGATAAAGTGAAAGGAACTGCAGGTCATATGTTGAAGAAGCTCATGAGGGAAGGAAATCCATGTGAAAACTCACAGCAGCTCATGGCACTTGCTGGGGGAGGGGGAAAGACATGGGGAGCAGGAAGAAAGATGAGTCTTGAGTGTGAGGAAAGCTGACAGTGGCCTAAAGCATACCAGGCAAAGCTGAAATCTGGTACTGGAGAGGGCTTTCAGAGAGAAATGGAGCTGCTGAGGGCAGCATGAGAGGGGAAGGAAGCAAATTGTAGAACAAACCAGGGGTGAGGCCAATGGAAGGAGCCAGGGGAAATGAGATCAAATGATAAAGGGATTTGGAGAAGAGAAATATTATCTGAAAAGTCAGAGAAAATGTGGGAGAGCTTTAAGGAGATAGTGTCCTTAATTTTCATCCTACAGCCCTGCAGCAAGTATTATAAAGGGGGCATACCAGAAATCTTTATTCATTGGTGATCTCTGTCATAATGGCCCCTTGGAGGTTTTGGCAGACTCCAATTTAAAATAGCTCTGAGATATCCTGACATTTAAAAAAAAAGGCAGTTTAGCTTCGAGGGATCTTAAAACTGCCCTGGCTCAATGAAGAATCTTCACTTGCAACTCAGGGTCCGGAGCTCAGCTTTGTATTTCAGTTTCTCCGAGCAGCTCTTGGTTTTATAACCTGTTAATCCAGTGATCCTCTTCCCTGAGCAATATCACCAAAGGTAGTTCTGGATGGATGGGGACAGATGGGGGTGATTTAGTGCTTTTTTGGCAAATGTGTTGATGAGAGGGCTCATTACATGAGCTTAGTGACAGGGATGGTTATCTGACCCAAGCAGGGCTATGCCTACTTAGTGTGGTTTCTCCTTCTGGCCTGACAATTTATGAGCACGAATCTCTAGTCCTCTGCTATCTGTGGCTTCCTTGTTACTGCAGGTTCATAGGACAGGCTGTTTTCAGAGGCTCCCAGAAGTGTATAATTCCCTCAAGTTAGATAAAAGACCTATTTCTCACAGTGATGCTTATTAGGAGATCTTACACACCTCAGTGAGGAGGAAGGGAACCAAAGGCTGCAGGTGAAGTATTTCTGGAGCTCAGCTGAATGCAGCTGTCAGCATTGTACAGGTGTGAACCCAGGCTACTGCGTGTTTCCCTGTGGCCAGGTGACAACCAGTGTTGTGTGCCTGAATGACACTTTGGAAGTGAAAAAAGTCTGTAATTAAAATCATATCAAGAATCTAACTCAGACTAAACAGGTAACTTTTACTTACCCTGGTGAATAATTCAGGGGGGTTGTGTAGGTGAGTCAATTAATGCTTTATGCAAGTTGATGAATTAAAAAGACAGAGAAGTAGAGCTGGAGGTCCTTGCTGGTGTAAATCACATAGCTGAATTCAGTGAGATATACCTAGCTGCACTAGTTGCAAAACTGACACTGTGGTTATGGCATGTCCTTCCCTGGCAGTGTATGGACAGAAAAGAGAACTGAAAAAGTAATTATTTATGAATTATGTAAATGGTGGATGTTTCTTTTTCTATTAATGCCTTCATGAATTTTCTGTGGAAGAGGTCATGGTTTTCTCAACTCTTACGTACTTTAA